ATTGTAATGGTGTTCTAGCCAGAGTGACTAGACAAAAAAAATAGAACTAATAAATCCAGCAGTTTTCAGGATACAGCAACACAATCATTTGTGTTTCTGTCCTCATGCTGTGGATAATCTGAAAGGAAATTAAGTGTTTTATTTAACCAAAGTAGTTAAAGACATGTTCATTGGAAGCCACAACACTGCTAAGAGAAATGAAGGAAGATAAAGTAAGTGGGAGGACTTGGTGTACACGAACAGGGAAGCTAAATAACTAGAATATTAGGGCTGCCTAAGTTCCCTTCAGAGCCAACGTAAAAATCTTTCAAAATCCCAACAACTTTCATTTGCAGAAAGGACAACAATCTTGAAGAAGAGCAGACTCTGAAGGCCTACACTTTCCAACTTTAAAGCTCACTGCACAGTGCTGGCGTCAACAGTCTAGCAGTGATACAAAGAGCACACCTGGCAATCAAACACTAAGCTCAGACAACTGAGGCTGGTGAGGTGTGGGCAAGAATGCCAAGCCATCCAATAGAGAAAGTATGCCCTTCCAACAGATGGTTCTTAGACAGTAGATTCCCACATGCCAGAAAAGAATGAAACTGGACCCTTACCTCACACCACGTACAAAAAGTAACTCATTGTACTCTACCTGTTCTTTCTCAATTACATTTTGTCAGCATCAGAAAGGGTAAAACTCAAATTGTTTTATTCAGAAAGTATAGAATTCTTTAGGAAGAAAGTGTGTGTGTGTGTGTGTGTGTGTGTGTGTGTGTGTGTGTCTTTGTCTATTTACTTGATAAGTATTTATTGAACAACTGAGCTATAACAGTATTCTATGCTAGTGATTTAAATATATACTAGTGATTAAAACCAAACTTGCTTTCAGCTTTGATGGAAATGACAGTCTGGAGGGGAAGTAAGATGTTTAAGAAGATAATTCCATTAATAGATGCACATGTGACATGTACATGTGACATGCAGAAAAGTAAAAGGGCTTTGGGTCTGTTGTCAGAGTAATATGAGCTGTCCTTAAGGTAGTCATCTCTAGCCAGGTGGCAGTGGCGAACACCTTTAATCCCAGCACTCGGGAGGCAGAGGCAGATGGATCTCAGTGAGTTTCAGGTCAGCCTGGTCTACAAAGTGAGTTCCAGGACACCCAGGACTGTTACACAGAGAAAAACCTGTATAGAAAACAAACAAACAAAAAAGATAGCCATCTCTAAGCAGGAGAATTGTGCTGAAGACAAGGAATGGCTGAGAAATAAATGGGTGAAGACAGGAACAAGGAGTGCCTAGGATTTTGGTTGTCTTTCCACGGAAATTAGTAGTCATAGAAACGAGTTTTGTGGGACCAGAGAGGTGACTCAGCAGTTGAGGGCACTTACTGATCTTCCAGAGGTCTGAAGTGTGGTTCCTAGTACCCATGTGGTAGCACCCACGTGGCAGTTCACAGACTTCTGTACCAACGTTTCTGGCCTCCGTGAGCTTCATACATCCACATCCAGGCACACACACCTATGTACAATTTAAAGTTGTATTTAAAATGAGTTGTGTGGTGTCTTTTGTTGCTGACTCTGGCAATACAATTGGGTGGCTTTCTTGTTTTCCCCTTCATTGCTAGTGATTGTATTGGGGCCATTTGGGTGCTGAGCAAGTGCCCTCCCTTCCACTAGACTGCATCAGTCTTGTGGAGGTTAGGTTGTCCCCCGTGTGGTACAGTTCCAAGGCAGGTGAGAGTTTATAAAGACAGTTGGGTTGCCTAGTTTGCATACTCTGGGAGCCTGATCATGAATTTGTGAGAATTTTAATCCTTTATTAAATAATTACATTATTAGATGACTAGCTTCAGAAAATATATGATACCATCTTCTTCATAAGTTATGCATTATGGCTCTGCTTATACTTTAAGAAAGAAAGTTTTCTGTGTAGTTTTGGTCCTTACTTTGAATGGAAGTGACATGAATGGCTTATGTAATTTCTGCCAAGTAATTAATATGTATCTTCTATAAAGCAATGCAGTTATAATCAAAATGCTTTAACTTACATGGATGTTGGCATTAACAAGTGCTGTTCGATTAGTGGCATCAAAAGAAACTACATTTAAACATCCCAGAAGCTCACTGCCACCTGAGATTGTAAAATACTTTCTGAGGGCCATTTAACTGCTGGCAACTTCAGTCACATGATTCATAGTGCTGGAAATTTAAATTCACTCTTAATTGAAAAGTGAAGTTATTTAAATTCTTTAAATGCTAACCTTTGGAAAAAATATCTGAAAAATAAAGGCCCATATGATTTTGATGGCCCACTGCCAAAAGATTATCATTTACATAAACGTCTCTTTTAACAGAAGGGCTTAATGCATTGAGCTCAAAAGGTTAGAATAGAGACTTCAGTCTGGAAAGCAGCAGTAGCCGTTTGGCTTGTGAACAGCAGCATTGTTCACCACGCTGGGAACACTGTTCGCATTCAGGCTGAAAGCAGCTCTGGCATTAGAATTCGGTTCATTTGTCTCATGTGACTTGTCAGCTGTGTGTTTTTATCTAAATCTTCCTGGCCTCTCTTCTTTTTTGTGTGTAAAGCCCCTGAAATAAATGAACTACCTTTTTAACTGTTTCATTTCTGATATTTCTCCAGCTTTGCAAATGATTCCATGTGATCATTTTCCAGGTTTTCATTACACTTTAAACACATTTAATAATCAGTTGGAGTGCCGTTTTACTTTATTAAAGCAATCCCATTTCAGAGACCTTTCTGCTTTGTCCATGTGTGAATCTGTAGCAGGACTTGGTGAAATCCACAAGACAAAACTGCTTGCCTTGTTTTCTCACCAGCGCCCATTCTTTCCTTTTTTGCTAACTTTGTTCTCTGTATTTTCCCTCGGATGACTTTTAATATCTGGCTACCAGCCAAGTCCTGGGTCTCAGCAGTAAAGTGCTGATCCCAAAGAAAAGATGCAGCTGTTGCTAATCTTAGAGTAGGGTTCCATCTCACTTGGGAAGATGAGGAAAATGTTCTCTCCCCTAAAATGGAGCCCAGTGCAACCCAAGAGCACATGTTCTTGAGTAATTGGCAAGTGCTTTGAAGAGAGCGAAGGCCAGGACTTTCAGAGAGCTTCGGGAGGCATAGTTAGCATAAGTAAACTACTGTGTGGAAGCTGTCCAATTTCATGTTTGGTATCTGCATGTATCCAGGAAATTGTCCTCACACTTAGAAAGGTGGCACATGCCCATCACCTAGGCAGGTTTCTTCCTTTGTTACCCTCCTTCTTCCCTCCCTAAGTTTCACAGGTTCATGATCTGCTTTCTGCACATTTGGCTGGACTCTACTTAATTTATTATGAGATTTGTCTGAGTGTGTCGATATAGTTCATCCCTTATGTTACTAAGTTGTATTATGTAATGTAGCATGAGTTCTAATTGGTCTTAATAATGAAAACTCAGCTATCAGGGGGTGAAAGCTGAAAGATCAGGGAAGCAAAGTGGCCAGCCACTAGAATTCTTACCTCTACCAATGCTCAAACCAAAGGGGCGATCCTGTCCTCAGACTGCATCCTCATACTGACTGACAAGGCTGCACTGTTCCTCTGACTGACTGCCTCAGACTGCTCCTCAGACTTCACTGCTCCTCACACTGCATCCTCAGACTGCCATCAGCTCCTGTCTTCTCCCTCCTTATAGTTTTTTTCTCTGCCTGGCCATATCCCTTCCTGTTCTGCCTTCTTAATGCTGGGATTAAAGGTGTGTCACTTCAAGTGCTGGGATCACCTTTGTATGAGCTCTGTTTCTTTTTTAGACTGGATCAGTTTTGTGTAGCCCAGGGTGGCCTTGAACTCACAGAGATCTGACTGCCTCTGTCTCCCGAGTGCTGGGATTAAAGGTGTGATCACCATTGCCTGGCCTCTATGGGTAGCTAATATGTTTGGCTTTGTACTCTGATCTTCAGGCACACTTTATCTGTTAGATCACAAACAAAACATCACCACACTGTGATACAGACCTTCCTCTACTTCTGTACCCACTCATCCGTTAGTAGACCCTGCTGTTACTCCAGTTTTCTTGTCTACCTGTTTGAACATCTCTGTTGTAGTTTTTACTCCTTTATCTCTTGTATATTCTCCTGTGCACCTCAGATCTGTTTACTGCATGGTATTTAGTTGGGAGGAGTACCATGTAGAATTTGAACATTTGGCCAATTTTCTTCTTTCAAGACAATTTCTTATTGATCATTGTAACAGTATCTATTAAGTGTTTTTAATGATTAAAATTCACTTATTTTTACATAAGAGAATTTCTGCTTGATCCAAAATTGTTCATTGTTTGAACTCAACTATGAAAAAAATACACATTAAATAGAAGTACATTGTGTTAGCAGTTACTGTATTTGATAAGTTAAGTGTTATTCTTTCTAGTCTACCGTCTGTGTTTTTATCATGTCTTTGTTTATACAATAAGCATATATTACTTTGACAGTAGAAAATAATCTTTTGTAGAGAAGAAAATAACCTGTGCTAATACTGTTCTAGTTTGTGTGATTTATTTTAAAAGATCCCCCCCCCCAAAAAAAAAGAACCATGTTGTCTCATTAAAGAGCCAAGTCTCAGGACCAGCCTTTCACTGGCTCACTGTATGATGTGGGCAGCTGTTAGTCTTCCTGAGGCCCCCAATTCCCACCTGTCCACTTGTAGCCCATGTCAGTCAGCAAGAGGGAGCAGCTGACTGACTGACTGACTGGGGTCTACCTGGTGTACAAGTTCCTTTCCCTCTGTCCCTCTGGTTTATATCCTGCTCTTGGCCAAGTCAGTGACATTCTGATCTTCTTTGTTGTCACCTTGGTCATTTTGAAGCTATATTATTATTATTTTCTCTCTTAGGTTTCTTATCTTAAAGATATTTTTAGATGAGAACAAGGTGTGTAAAATGCTTCTTATGTACAGAAGCAACACATTTAAGAAGTAGAATTTGACTCTGACAGCAGTGTTAACGAACTTTTCATTTCTTTTCTTTTTGAAGAATATCAAAGAATATTCCAACAACTAAAGATGTTGAGCCACTGCTTGAAATTGATGGAGATATAAGAAATTTTGAAGTGTTTCTGTCTTCAAGGACCCCAGTTCTTGTGGCTCGAGATGTAAAGACCTTTTTGCCATGTACAGTAAACCTGGACCCCAAACTACGGGAGATCATTGCAGGTGGGTGTTGTGGTGCAGTTTATTTTTCTCTGAAGTCCTCAAATCTTTCATGTTTCGTTTCTTTCTTTCCTTTTTTGTTTGTTGGTTTTGCTTTTGTTTTTGAGGTGAGCTCTCACTGTGAACTCAGTCACTGAAGGCGTCCTGCCTAGGCTTCTGAAGTGCTGGCATTGCAGGGATGTGCCTGCACAGCCAACAGACTCCTGTTCTAACTTGTTCTCTCATTTTATCTTGCTTCATGAAAAAGTAAGAAACTTGAACCAAGCATGTCACAGAGGAATTGATGGGTATAAGGACTGGGGTGTCCACACCTGGGAATGTTAGGATGTCAGCAGTTTACTCCATGGTGCTCTCTTCCTTGCCTCGACAAATTCTCCCTTTGGAATGCTGAGCTCCCCTGATGTCACACGTGGTAATTGCCCCATTGTCTGGCTTCCGCTCTTAATAGAGACTTCTGTGTAGAGCAGAAAACAGACAGTCTTTACCTTCACTTTAGGTTTTTAACCTAATTTTGATAAACTGGGACTTAAAATATTAATTTATATAAACTGGGTCTTAAAAATATTGTTAATTTATTTTATGGCAGTGCCGGGGCTTGAACCTAAGGCCTTGTGCACATTGTGCAATCACTGAATATGTCCTCGACCCTCTTTTTACTTTTGTTTTGAGGCAGGATGTCACTAAATTGCCCAAACTGGCCCTAAACTTTTGATCTTAGCCTCCCAAGCAGCGGATCTACAGCCTATACTGCAGATCTGGTTTGCATTCTGGCTTTAGAGAGACTGGTGGGTGCTGGAGCTCACACAGCTGTATTGGAACACAAGGGCTTCATGTGATCTCACTCATCAGGCCATGATTGAGCTTTGTGGGAGTTACTGAGGGATCACCTTTAATTAGTCCTGTAAAGTGAAATAGACTCACACAAATGCTGTGTCCCTCCCCCATGTGTGGGATCTAAAGGAGAGCAGAGCTGGACTTCCTGGAGCCTGGGATAGTCTGGGAAGAGAGAGGACAAGGGCGATGAGAAGAGGCTGGTTAGTGAGTACAGATACAACTGGATAGGGGCAGTAGTTTCTTACTCTACCTACACAGTAGGGTGGCTACAGTTAACTGTGAGTTAGTGAGTGTTTCAAAATACCCAGAAGGGTCCATTTCATGTCTCATCACAGAACAATGGTGAGTGTTTGAGGTTCATTTCTTCAGCTTATACCTTATGCAATATATACATCTTTTAAGGAAACATATTGTACCATAAATATGTAGTTCTTAGTGCTCACTCTAAGGCTGATGCTTTTGTGCTGGGTGCTCTATGATGAGAGGTCAATGTAGGTCCACGGTTAGCTCACGTTGTATGCATTAGACAATTGGAGTCTTGCATTAGCATATAACAAATAAATGTTTAAAGACTCAAAAGTAACAATAGTGTTTGGTAACTGAAGAAAGAATCCAAGTGTAATAGCTTTTCAAATAGTGAAGAGAAACAAAAACCCAATCATATTATGTACAGCAATTGGTCTTGTTTTTTTTCTTTCACATAAAGTCTATAGCCTATTAAAGACTTCCCAACAACTCATTCAAACTCAGCTGAAGTCACTAGCAGTGAAGAAAGTATGTTCTTGTGTAGTAGCTGGTGACAGGACTAATCACCAGTGCCCTGTTCTCTTTTGCCTTTTGGGTTATGGTGGAATTTCCAGACGTTCGAGCTGCAAGAGAGCAGATCAACATAGGAGGCCTTGCATACCCCCCACTCCCTCTGCATGAAGCCCCTCCTCGGCCACCTTCTGGGTACAGTCAGCCTGCATCTGTCTGCTCCTCCTCAGCATCATTCAACGGGGTTCTGTCCCCTCAACCCCACAGCAGCTACTACAGCGGCATGTCCGGCCCTCAGCACCCCTTCTACAACAGGGTAAGGGGCAGCACCTTTGCTGTAGAATGTCTCTTCCAGGGTATCAGGGTCTTTCTGCCTGTGGGTTCTGATACTGCTTTGGGACTGTAATTTGAATTTAAAATAGGAAAGTGTAAGGCTTAAATGTACAATTGTATGATTTTTTTAAAAAACAGTGTCTTGGATTTTAGAATGTTCTAGACTTCTAAAGAGTCTGCACATAAGAACATTGTATTTTGTGTAGCAATTTATGCTGGCATTTACAACACTGATAAATTCCTAGAGTTGTTTATAGTATGTAGACATATGTGAGATAATAATGGGAACATATTGCTTGAAGGATCAAATGTTATTGCCAGTTAATATTGCCATAAGCTGTTTTTATAATTTTATTTCAAGTACCTTCAGTCAGATGTAATTCTTTGCTTAATACACAATTTCCTAACTAAAAATTGAAAGGACAGTTACCAGTGGTACCGAAAACATGTTGAATATAATCGATCAAAGGTGCCTGTTCTCGAAAACCTTAATGACTCGAATCATGTAATGGCACTAATGATTTCCCAAAGGAAACAAATCACGAACCAGGATGTTTTGTAGAATGTTAAATTCCATTGTAAGTGTTATTCCTTCTTTTCTCCTTGGTTAGTCTAAATTCAGGGGGAAAAGGGGGCTAATATTCAGAGAAGACAGCTGACTGCATAACTTTATTCCACGTGAGCTGGGAAGAACAAGTTTGGGATAAATGTGACAAAGAAGGAATTGCAAAATTTAAATTAAATTTTTATTATTTTAAGTGGCCATATTAGTAATTTAGGTTTGCTGTTTATAGAGCCGTAGACTGTGATTGCATTTTTCTGTGTGGACAAGGCAACACAGGAGGAGCCAATAGCATTTAATAACATTTATACTATGTTCGTTCTCTGTAAAAATTAACTGTGTGGTAGGTGGTTTGGAATATAGATCCGTAGTCACCAATCTTAAAGTCTGCTGTAATTTACCATACGATGGCTTAATCAATATTAATTAAAGGTGTGAAAATAAGTTTATTTGAAAAAGACTCATGAAATCATCTAGGCTGCATTTTACCTTCACATATTTTAAAAGCAATAATGCAATGCACTTTTAAAGTAGTTACTTATTTTTAAGACACTGAAATTTCTCTTGTTTTGGGGTTTAGTGTTTCTATTATTATTTAGGAGGGTACGATTCATACCATTAAAAGGCATAGTAATTCTCTTAAACTGTCAGGAGTAAAGAAGAGAGAAGCAGCTACCTGGGTACAATGAAGCCTAATGAGTCTTCATCTTTGTGTTTCTAGTCCATATGATCTGTTATGGGAACCTGGCTATAAGAAAATGCACAAGTTAAGTCTTGTGTAGGTAGCAGTGTGAAATCCAGTGTGCGCTGAGACAGCTGAGCTCCAGGGCTCCCATGAGGCTGTCCTGGGAAGTACTGCTGGTTGTTCCCACGTGACCAGGCAGAGAGTATCCTAATAACATTCTAGTTTGCTTTAGAGAAAAATTTGTAAGTTAATACATACAAACCGTGTATAGCAAACCTGTTAAGATGTTAAATACAAAGAAAAAGTGTTTGTGTTAACTCTCAAGGTGCAAAACATATCAAATGAACAAGATAGAGTATAAGTCACTGGCTTAACTCTGGTTTGGATCCTACAGAGTATGAAGGACGCTTTTGTTTTGTCACTTGCTTTTGAACTTTGGAGTTGTGTTGGTTGGTTTCACGTGATAAATCTCATTACACTTTGATTTCTGTAATTGTTCATGCCCTTTTTTTTTTTGTTACATGTTTTTCCATAGCCATTCTTTGCCCCATACCTTTACACGCCAAGGTATTACCCTGGCAGTTCCCAACATCTCATCTCACGTTCATCAGTAAAAACGAATTTGCCCAGAGATCAGAACAATGGCCTAGTAAGTATATAAAAGGGTAACTAAAATATTAATCTCATAAAAGGGCATGGATAGCATTAAAAGCTATATATTTTTTCTTTCGGGAGTAAAAGAGTACAACTTATTTTATAGTTTTCATAATCAAGCTATTGCTAATATAAAATGTCTAGCCATCTCAGTGACTGAATGTTGAGTTTTTACAACCAGAAATCTCTGGCTTGTAATGGATTGTTTGCTACCAAAACTTTAAAAACTAGATCTTTTCTATCTGCTAATTTCTAGTATCTTTTTAAAGGACATCTATATGGTATGTCTGTGTGTATACATTAGCCTCATGGTTATCTATAGGTATGTCTGTTTGTATACAATAACATCATGGTTTAGTGGAAGGAGGGTGCAACAAGAGAAAAGGGTTTCAGTCTGTGGCAGGGACTTGACAGAATGAGATTGTTTAAACATACTATTGAATATAATTAATCAAAACAAAATACATCTGTGCCAAATACATTAGGGCTTCCTAATGACAAACTTTAAGTGACTATAAAAAACAAATTCCCTGTTAATATGATTTTAGTTACATTTTGAAGTGGTCAAAGGGGAATTCCAGTCACTCTGTGGGGTGTTAACTGTGTTGTTATTTTAGCATCCTGTTCATTCATCTCTGTGTGGCTCATCCTGCCCTGTTCACCTACTTTCCTGTTTATGTTGCTAGGAAGTTATCAAGGAGGATGCTGCTGAGGGGCTTCCTTCACCCACAGACTCCTCGAGGGTAATGGAGTAGTCTCGTGGTGTGGAACAGTGGTGTCTTGTTGCTTCTGTAGCAGTAATGACCATCTTAACACGATTGGCAGCAGTGCACTAACTCACTGATGGTGTGACTGGCAGTGTAGAGTAGCGAGTACTAACAATTACAGCCAATGGGTCCATTCCAAAGCTAATGTTCCTCCTTCATTCCTCCTTCTCAGTGACATGGGAGGGGCTTGAATTCCACAGTTAGGAAGGGCTGTTTCCAGGAGTCATCACACAGATTCAGCAGTGGGTTTTCCCTTAGTGCTGAGGGTTGTTTTCATCTTAACCATTTTTTGTTGTTATTGTTGTTTTGTTTTTTCAAGACAGGATTTCTCTGTATTGCTTTGGAGCCTGTCCTGGAACTTGCTCTGTAGACCAGGCTGGCTTTGAACTCACAGAGATCCACCTGCCTCTGCCTCCCAAGTGGTGGGATTAAAGGTGTGAGCCACCAACACCCGGCCATCTTAACTGTTTTTTATACAGCCTGCACTTGGTATGATTCTCTTAGGACAGCTTTGAAAGTATCCCGAATCACCTTTGATGTTGGAGAAAGGCATGAGGTAGATGGTATAGACCAGCACATCTCTGGTAACTCACCCGTGCTTCTAGCTGTTTCCGCTGGTGAAGTCTTCATGCAGTATCGCTTCTTCCTTTCTTTATTCATGAAAATAAAATTTCCAGACAAACCTAGAGCTGGTTCAATATCCCAAAGGAAGTTGTTTAAACTTTTTCCCTCTTAATAAATTAAGATACTGGTTTCTTTAAAAATTAGAACCAACAGACCGTGGAGGAAACCACTAAAATAATAATTACTCCAGACCTTATACTTAAAAAGAAATACATGTGATGAGCGGCCATAAAATCTTACTTTAGTCAGTCAGTGTACAGTTAGGTCCAGCTCGTGTTTTATGTTCAGAATATGTTATCTCAGGTAAAGATGCTCTCTAATCTAAAACTATTCTAAAATGTTGTAAGCAGTGAAGAGTTGCAGGCTGAAATAGTACATCCCAAAGTTTATCAAGAATGTTTAAGTTAAAACATGCATTTGAATAGGTAATATATTTTTAAACCTTAATTTTCTTTGAGTTAATTCTTTTAAGAGGCCAAAAGGGTACCATTTTGTTGTTTTTATTGAGGAGTTGGTGACTCTTGAGTCACCCACATATTAGCTGAAGTGTTTGAGTGACTGCAGCTATCCACCAGTGACAGACATCCTGAAACACAGCAGTACTTTGGGTGCTTGGGGCTGTTGTGGCTCATGCAACACCACCACTGTGTGCAAAGTTGCTTTTAATTAGTTAGGGAGCCTTTGCTACAGGGACTCATGTGTGCAATTCAGCTCTAGGGACTAAAATTCCTCGGTGAATTCCTGATGAAAATCAGATACTATGGAGGACTTCATGGCTTTAGTGACACAGAAATGCTGAAACAGCAGCTCTTCCCTGCTGCAGAAGTGTAGGCAAACACTTGTAATGAAAAGGTGCCAATGACAAGGAGAACGTTAGATGAGGTTTGGAATGAATTTTTCTGAGGAAGGGGACTAATGCAGTTCCTGAGCCATGGTTGGAAGTGAATAGCAAGGCATGAAGGCACCTCACCTAGCGCAGTGTCCTTGTCAGTAAGATACCACACTTCATGTTCTCTTGGTACTAAAAGGTAGTTCGTAGTTGGCAGAATGGGTAATAGATGCTCACCACGCTTTCTGTGCTTCTAAGAAATTAACAGTGGCAACAGTTTGTAAAATGTGTCTTGTAGAAGACTAGGCAAAGCTAGTCAGCATTCGATCAAAGCCATTGAAAGCAGTGGTGGAAACTTAAGAGCCTGCCTGTCTTAGTCAGTGTTCTGTTGCTGTGAAGAGACACTGTGACCATGGCAACTTTTACAAAGGGAAACATTTAAGTGGGGTGGCTTACAGTTGAGAGGGTTAGTCCATTATTATCATGTAAACAAACATGATGCTGGAGAAGAAGCCAAGAGTGCTACGTCTGGGTCTGCAGGCAGCAGGGAGAGGGAGACACTGGGCCTAGTTTGAGCATTTGAAACCTCAAAGCCCACCTTTAGTGACAAGCTTCTGCCAACAAGCCACGCCGACTCCAATAAGGCCCCTCCTCCTAATAGTGCCACTCCCTGGTGACCAGACATTCAAATCTATGAATCTATGGGGGCCATTCATATTCATACTACCACACTGCCAAACACTGTTAGGTGCCATGGATGCTAGCTAGATCAGCTCTCCCATTGGCTGGTTATTGGTCATGTCTGTGTGGCATCATCCCCTTCATAGACCTGATGAGAAATGCCTCTTGTAGATAAGCTGGGAGCTACATGAATCTTTTAGAACAAATTGAGCTATCATTACAGACATGGAATAACAGAGAGGGAAAGTGAGGTCAAAAAGTTAACCAACCATGGTGTTTGCAAAATATAGGTGAGCTCATCTATTTTTACCTCAAGGAATTTCTGATAAACCAAATGTTTGTGAAAATAATAATTTTTCTCACATTAACATTACTAAGATTATAGTCTACAAAGTCCAAAGATTAGCAGGTAAATTATAGATAGATATTTGAGTGTTTCACAAAGTAGGGGCTTGAACTATAAACCCCTGTGGTGGTTTTGTGCCCTGTAATTTTATGGCTGAGAAAATATGCATGCCAGATCGTGTGAAAGTGAAGATAATGTTAGATCTGAGATGTGCTCCCAGAGCATTACGGTTGGGAAGGACTAGTGTGTCCTCCTTTTTCATAATGGAAGCTTTAGTCTATACCTCATTTCATAAAAGCAGGGAGAGCAGCCCCTGGGCCTGTCCAGGCCTCCTTTCCTTCTGAGGCTCCCATACCAGACACAGCTGGTATTTTGGGGTCTGGTTCAGCCTCCATGGCCCTAGTGAAATGAGTGGGGCATACATCGGGGCACAGGAGCAGGTTGGTAATGTAAGAGCCAGAATGCCCAGCCCCTGTTTCCTGCCTTGGCCATTCTGCTGAGTATGAGTAGGGGTGCAGCCTCTGGAGTTCAGTAGATCTTGTGATGCACTCTTACCCTTGCACAAGCTACCCTCTTTCTATGCTTTACAGTTTCTTTGGTCTGACCTGGGCATTACTAAATACTAGCATATTTAAGTGCATTATTATCTACCAAGAATACCCAGAGCCTTAAAGACTCAGACTCAAACTGATTCGAGTTAGGTGATTGTTGGCTAATAGTGGACAGGACTGTATTCATCTGCAGCCAATTTAGATTATCCCAGGTGTTTTATGTACTGGTGTTTCTTGGGCTTAAGAGGCATCATTTAGAGGTGTTTTGGGGTTGTGAATATGATGGAGTGCATCTCTTAAGGACAGGAATGTAGCCTGGGAATCACACCTTAGGCAGTCCTGTGAACATGGAGTGCCACTAATATACACTCTCAAGTTATCTGAAGTGTCATGTGGTGCATGACTACGTTTGGGAATCGGAAGCTTTTCTGGAAGATTTCACTTGGTGCCATTACCATCTTTTAGTGGAATTCTCACCAAGGTGTCCATTGGCCTTAACCCAGATTTGCACTGCGTGGCTCCACCTAGCTCTGAGTTGCTTTGAGGAAAAAGATTACATAATTCACAAAACACCCTTACAATTTACATAACTCACAAAACACCCTTACAAACCATATAGTCTAAAGATACTGAGAAAGTAAGGAAAAATTGGGTTTGTCATGAATGCATAAAATGTGTAATAAAAGTCTTTATTTTCTACCATGATATGTATAAATCAATTCTAAATAATTAAAATTTACCCAAGTTTATGAACACAAAGACAGTGCATGGCACACTCACAGTGAGAGAAGTGTAAATGCATTTGAGGTACAGTGTGGGTCCTATCTGACTGCTGTAGCCATCTCCTGTTGCTGTCATGAGAAGCTCAAGTGTTGCAAGAGTCAGCATAAAATGCTGTGGGAGTGTGGGCAGTTTTTCTCTCCAGGAAACTGTATACAAATGTAACCGGATACCTTCTGTATAATATATGTAGCATGCAAAATAAGGCCTGACCCACTGTTCAGGGAGTTGTCTGTTCAGAGGCAAGCTACTAGCAAGAGTTTTAGGGAGTCAAAAGATCCACTCAGATTGGTGACTCTTTAGGAAGTTGGTACTCTAACTCCACTTTGCTCAGGAGTCAACTCTAGTGGCATGGAGAGCCTTCTGTTGTCCTCATGGACAACACAGCAACAGGCCTGTCTTGGGCCAGGAGTCTTGGGTGGCATTCTGTTAGTGAGCCAGACCTGCTCTGGATAGCTGTTCCTGGTGAGAACTACATTTCTTTGGCAGACATTTTCCCCCCAAAGAAGGAATGCCATAACATTTCTTTTTCTTCCTTTCTCCTCCTGTTTTCCTTACTGATTTAGCATTGTATACTACTGGCTGATGCTGAGTGAGCATTCATTGTCCCGTCATGTATTTATTGAGCATGTGAAGGCCCCATCTGGTGGGATAGAGCAGGAGACAAAAATGAAAGGCATCCTGCCCTCACACTCTGTGGGTTCCCAGGCCAGCAAGGAATCACCAGTGTCTGCCTTCCTTGGCCTCTGAGAGATCACTTCTATATATTCTTGAAAAGACATGACAGATTTAGTATTAAGTTAAATTGCAAGAAATTTCAGAATTGCATAGGCAACATTAAAATAATTTTACAATATTCAGTGTGTTCTTAAGTTATATTTAGAGAGTGAAGATAACTGTTGATTTAATAATGGCATTACAAATGAATGTCAGACTTTTGCTCAGTAGGCTCCAGCTCATGGAGTACAGTGTGTAAAGCTGGCGCTTCCTGTAGGCACTTTATTTCCACCACTGCTTTAGAGCTTGCAAGTTGTCTTCACGGCAACTGTGTCCAAACCAAGCTGTCTCTTGTTTGCTCAGGACAAGAGCTGGATGAGAAAGCTGCAGATGTGGGTAAGCAGTCGGGCATTCTTTAGACTGAGCGTGCCACAGGTGCCCACCGCCCTCAGAGACTGAGTGTGCCACAGGTGCCCACCGCCCTCAGAGACTGAGTGTGTCACAGGTGCCCACCGCCCTCAGAGACTGAGCGTGCCACAGGTGCCCACCGCCCTCAGAGACTGAGTGTGCCACAGGTGCCCACCGCCCTCAGAGACTGAGCGTGCCACAGGTGTCCACAGCCCTCAGAGACTCCAGCAGCAGTGTCAACCAGCTGAATGTTATGCACCCCTTTAACAGCACTTAAGAAGTGGATTTTCATTATTCTTTTTGAATTATGGGAAATGCTAGTTTCCCCCCTATATTGAAATATAGCCCAAATTGAATCTTTACTTTTGTGTGGAAGTCTTTAAGCCATATTTCAGTTAAAATGTTCTCTGAATTTCAAGTAAATGGAGTGAAATATATTTGGTAGCTGATACTATAGTAATGTCCTAGGTGTAGTTTTAAAAAGGTTAAAAGATGCAGGGGGCTGAAGGGATGGTTGAGTGGTTGAGAGTACTGGCTGCTCCTCTGGAGGACCGAGAGCTCCCTGTAGCACCACACAGCTGCACACCTCCTATATATGACTTCAGTCTCAGAGCTCCACCACCCCCTTCTGGCCTCTATGGGTACTGCATACATGTGATAGCCATACACATAAAAATACATAAAATTTAAAGTTAAAAAGCAGACAAACATGTTAATACTTGGTTTTTTCTTTGTTATTTAAAGAGTGTCCTCAAACTGTAGTGTTAAGCCTTATCTATCCTCTTTGACAGAGTTATTTCTCCAGTCTCATGAAGAGTAAGTTACATAGTGATCATAATAACACAGGAGGAAGATGAGCCAAGTTTCATTTCCATCTAGTTAACAGTTTCTGCCTCTAGTTTGGGGGCATCGTACAGTAAACCATCATTTCACAGAACTTGTCTGATATCTGTGCACGTCCCTATGGAGACATGTCTATATAGTCACCATCTAAAGTCTGACGATAAAGAGTAGAAGAGGATCACCCTGTGGACTCCACACACTGACCATATTCAAAGGTGTCTCAGACACATGTCTGAGGTGAGGCTAGCAGATAGCAGAGCCTTCCTCCTGTTCACTAGAATACCAAGGCCGGTGACAAATTTAAATTTGTCAGTTGTCTGTGGATGGTTTTAAGCATTTAAGACTATAGTCACTGATTTTTCAGTACGTAAGAACAATTAACAACAGGGTTTGTTTGATTTGACATAGAGTTCTTAAGAATTCTACAGTATGGCAGTCAAAGAGTGTGGGTTTTTTTTTTCTTTTTTACATTTCTGATTTGTTGGGCTGTAATTTTCAAGACATTTCTTTTAAACAGGCAATCGAGGCTTCTGTTAGAATCAGCATAGTCAATGACGCAACACTCATATTTAGTGGTGTATTTCTGAATAATAACTGTCCTTCAAGGTAGTCTACCTAATCAAGCCTTAAATGTTTTGACAATTTTAAGCTTATATATTGGAAGAATATTGGCTTTTCATGGAAAAATGTGATTTACCTGGTTTTCTTGTTGAATGTGTCATGCATGATTTATTCTTTTAGTGGAAAAAATAAGTTTTAAGAGTGCAATTTTAAATTTTTTAAGTATCTACTAATGAAATAAAACTGCTTTCTGTATGTTTCTCACTCAGTACTGCTGATACCAAAGTTTGTTTAGAGTTGAGGGGAAATAAGAGGCTTGGCAGGGGCTCTGTTTATATGTATGATATATGTATGAAATGTGTATGATATGTGTATGACATGTGTGCTTTGATTTATTTCACATTCATGGCCTTCACTCTGTTTTATTCCCTCCTTAAAGCCGTGTGACTCTGGGTTTAACAAACAGAGACAGGTACAGAAACTCCTGGTGACGTCTCACTTACCTTAGCAGTCTATTAGATGGTCATTGGCTACTTCATGCTGGGCTGTTTATAGATCTCTGCCCATTCTGTGTCTCGGGTTCATTTCTGTAGTTGCTTTCAGCCTCTGCATGGCAGCCATTGCTGACTAATCAGTTTTCAGCTTTTCTAATAAATTGACTGAAGATGTGATATTTCAGAGTGTACTGTTAATCTGCTGACACCAGAAAGCAAAACCACCACCTTAGGTAACTAGTGTTTTTATAGCTTTGCTTTGAACTGAAGAAATCCTGATTCAGATGCATTTTCAAGCTTCTGTCTAATAGCTTAAACAAGCTAATGTATGCTGTGTTGAGTTTTCCAAGTAAGAAAGATAAATAAATAAATTCCAATTTAGAAAACCACTACTGTTCTGGATTACACAGGTGGATTTCAAATGAGAATGCACCATAAATGTTGAAGGACTATTTGGATTCTTTGTTTCCTCACAAAATAATATACTGAGTTTCTATTAAGAACTGAGTAACTCAATAAATTTTTTATACTCCTCTTTTATGATATTTCCATTCAAAATTTATTATTTTGGTTATAAGAGTCATTTGATTTAAAAGTAATTTCACTGTACATTATTACTTCAGAAAAGATTTGGAAAGTGATTAACATTTCTCCTTCATATAAAGAAACTTGTAACACATATGGTTTTCAAATTAATAACTTATCATTTGATAAAGACCAACTTTCAAATAGGAATCAGACGTGATCCTAACTCCTCGATTGAGGTGGCCTCTGCTGGGTGTCAATACTTTACAGCTTTCTTTTCTCTAACTAATAAATTCTTGGGGGTAGATATTTGAAACTCTGCTATGTCCTGTTAAACTTTCTTGGCTTTTAACCATTAATTGATGGCTAGTGATGGAGTTTATAATACAGCTACTATAGTGATGGTGGTTGCCTGATGGGGATTTTCTGTTTCTCTCTGCCACATTTATTAATTGGAATTTCATAAGAAAAGTTGTCTCTTCCTCCTAATTCATTAACTTAAGTATTAAGTTTTAAAGCCAGGAGTGGTAGCACATGCCTTTAGTCCCAGCACTTGGGTGGCAGAGGCCAGTGATCTCTGTGAGTTCAAGACTGGCCTGCTGTACATAGTTCCAGGACAGCCAGGGCTACATAGAGAGATCTTGTCTCAAAACAAAAACAAAAAGAAATTTAGTCTTATCAGTATGAATTCATGGATTTTTTTTCTGTGAACTATAACATAATCTGTATTTTGTTGATTAAATTCTACTTTTGTGATTTTTTTAAACAAAAAAGAAAGTAATCCAATATAAGCATATTGAGAGCAACTCTGGGTCATGTAAGATATGGTACATTTTATAGTTAAATAAGGGCAAACTATAAATAAGTATATTTGGTGCAGTTTGTTCCAGGTCATCTGTTTCTAAACTTTGATGTACCTGTGTTGCTTTTGTGAGCTAGGTAGAGTCCCAGACTCATGAAGTCACTGTTCCTGCTGTCTGAATAATACAGTCCCATTTCTCTCTCTCTCCCTCTCTCTCTCTCTCTCTCTCTCTCTCTCTCTCACACACACACACACACACACACACACACACACACACACGTATGTTCATGTGTTTCTCAGGCAGTGCAACAATTATGTTTTCACATTACAAATAAGGCTTACCTGTGCCTAACAGATATTTTTAAAGTATAAGATAGTCTACTGTTCTTGACACTGGTAAGAGTCAGGTACAATTTATGTACCACCCGCCCTCCAGCTGACCCAGAACTTGATATGTAAGTCAGGCTGGCTTTGAACTAAGAGAGGTCCCCCTGCCTCTGCTTCCTGAGTGCCAGGATTCAAGGTGGGCACACCACCACTCCAAGCCAAACTTTATTCTCTTAAGGAGGTGATAAATCTTATTTCTCATATGAAGATTATGTTGAAGATTATGTTGAAGGGCAAACAGGGCAGATCATAATGCCATCATCTTTATTGCATTTTCTTTATTGTGGCTATAGCTTCCAGAACCCTTTTTAGAAATAGTTGGAGCAAAGAAAACAGTTCATTTATATAAAACCTGACCAGCTGCATGCACTTTGACCCATGTCTACCACTCCCTAGATAATCATTCTGGAAGCCTGGCTATCAAGGCAGTTCATAGAGTGTTTTTAAGGTTACTTAATTGTTTGATATAGGCATTTGAAAATTATTCTTAGATGTGTCCTTTGTATTCTATAAGTATCTGTAATTTCTTTTTCTTTTCTTAAGTTCTCCCCCTCGTATTTAGGGCAGTTCCTGTATGTTTTAAAGTGTAATCATTTGAGGACTTGATGATGACCATCTTAGAAAAGTGGTTTGGGTCAGACTGCCCCTCCTGTAATAAACGCTACTCATTACATGTCACAGTAGCTGAATCAATTTATTAAGGGCATTTTCTTAAATTCTATATGCATAGGCTGTGTTTTCTTTATTTCAGCAGTATAAGTTAATGAATTTTTCTGCCACGTGACCTCACACTCCATATTAACGCTACTCATATGTGTGTTTCCCTTGGCTTACCTAGGGATCGGCCACCATAGGCACAACACTGTTACTGAGTTCAATGACTGTGGATGTCATTTCTGAGAAACTAAGGCAAATAGAAGGACTGGACCAGACCATGCTGCCTCAGTATTGCACAACAATCAAAAAGGTGACGTATGTTTACATCTTATCTAGAGAAAGGACTGAGTGCAGAAGACAGGCCGGATGCTGGGCAGCACATTTTCACAAGGAGCCACTGTATGCAACACCTCCAAGTGAAATGGGGAGCTCACTTTCTGATTTTATAAGTAGATTAAAGAAAGAATAGCTGAATGGCAATGCTACTTAACACATGGTCTAATATAAGTGAAAATGAAATGACACAATGAAAAATACAACAGTTCATTCACTGTGGACCAGAGAACATGGTGAGGCTGCTCGGTGCACCCACCATCTTCAGCTGCACGCAGTATGCATCTCTAATCTGAAATCTCTGAAACAGGAAGCTTTCTGAGCATGGAGGTCGGTGTAAGTCCAGTATCAGAGCCTTTGGGTGCTGGATGCTCAGTGAGTAATGTCCCAGTGAATATCTCTTCCTAGGTGGGGATTGCTGCACTTGGAAGCAGTGGTAGTCTCAAGCGTTCTCAGGAATTAGAACTGGCCTATAGTACATGTTTGTGTGACTTCATAGTAATTACAGAGTACAGTTCATTTCTTACAGAAGGCCAATTTTATATCATGTAAGATTTTTGATAGTGTTATGTTTGAAGAACCACTTAGGGTTGGGCTTACATGAAGGTTTTTTTCTCACAAGTCTCATAGCTCCCGAGTCAACCATACAGCTGAGCAGTTATGTCTGGTGCGGGGAAGACATTGCCTACATGAAGTTAAATGCATCCAGTTACAGATTTTTCTTCTAGCCTAAGCTTTCATATCACAGTTATTGCAGTAGAACATTGATAGCAAGCCTCTGCTGCTTATGCCTTTAATTCTTGTGCACCATGTTACTAATCTTAGCCCACATGTGGTCAGAAAGAGTATGGCACATGTCTGTTTTCTTACAGCACTAATCCATGCCTATCCCTGTCTGTCTGAGTCAGTACCTCCTTCCCACACACAAACCCTGCTCCTCCAGGCACATGGTTAGTGTCAGGGAAGTCTACTCTTGGTCTGCCATGCACATGATCTGTATGCTCATTCCTTTGGAGTTCACCTAGACATGGAGCATTGTACTAATCCCCAACGTAAATACTACCTCATTTTACCAGGTAGTAGTCAGGCTTCCCCCGTTCCCCATAAAATCAGAAGGCCACCCTTGAATTATGCTACTGTTTTTCATTTAAGTGCAGGTAGATTTCCAGGGCCCCCCCAAAACTGAAAGCCTATTTTGTCATAAGTTTAATCAACTGGGAAGTTAGTATCTGGACATTCTTTCTCCACTGTAAGTGGTGAATTGGCTTGTTACACACACTTCATTTAGATCTGGTTTGCAACTAATACACTCTCAAGTTAGAAATCATTTTCCCTCCCAGTCCCCACCATGTATTCATGTTAGTATTTTCTCAGATTCAAAAAGCAAAATTAATGGTTTTGTTGCTGCCCAGGACAGAGCCGGTAGAAATATTTGAGATGCTGGTTGGTCCTGAAGTGTGGTTTGTTTCACTGAAATGCTTGATACTTAGGAAAATGTCAAGTGATTTGTGTGACTGAGATGCAGCTCATTGTATTGCATGGAGAGTGATGGCCACTGTGAGTGCCGCCTCTGAAGCAGCCTTGAAATCACCAGTAATTCAGAACGCTTTCGATTTTGTTTTTGTTTCTACTCAGGCAAACATAAATGGCCGGGTATTGGCTCAGTGCAATGTTGATGAGCTGAAGAAAGAGATGAATATGAACTTTGGAGACTGGCATCTTTTTAGAAGCATGGTAAGGTTTTACAGCATTATCACAGGTGGCATTTTATTATACTGTGCAAACCCAGAACTAAGAAATACTGGCCTAAATGGATAATTCTCCATAATAATTTAAAAAAAGTTGCATTTTGCATGTGTACCTTTGTTTTGTTTTTGAGTTTTACACTTGTATTCAACCCAGTGCTATGGGGAATAGTCACAGCAGCATGTGGGATCTTGTCGTTTTTGACAAGAAGCGATTCACCAGTTTTCCATGCTTCTGCTCAACAAAAATGTCCTCCTTGACCAGTTCCAGGCAGGTCAATCTGAGCCCTCCAGGCTTCAACCTTCACTCTGAGCCCTCCAGGCCTCAACCTTCACTCTCTGTCCTTGTATGTTGCTCAATATCAGCAGCAATACCTATGAGCCACATTGGAAAGATCCCTACGGTCAACATAAGATCACCCCTGGTACTCCTCAGGTTCCTGGTTGTCCCTCATCTCCTCCCAGCTGAGGTCTGATCACCCTGGCTTGTCTTCAAGAATCTTGTCAAATTGGCTTACCCGGAATCCCTTGAAAGCTAACCCTCCCCTCCTCACACTCACTGGCTCTCAGTATACCGTCTTTGGAGTAGAGCTGTTTCTATACTGAGGTCAGCAACCTCTCATAGTAGTTCTTGCTGCTTTCTGCTCACTGGCTCCAGTTTCCTTTGACAGACTCCAGTTGAATTTTGTTTTTTCTTAAGTTTTAAAATTTGTAAACTAAGATGCTGATATTCCTCCTAATGTTATTAATAGGATTAAGGTAAGGTTGGAATACCTTCCCTGAACCATCGTAGTGGGAAGTGTGTGTTCCTGACCCTGGTGTGATAACTATAACTTTAGCTCTCTGAAGCCTCTGTAATGTGCTTTGATAACGCAGATGAATATTGATCTTTTGTTAAGGTCTTAGAAATGAGAAATGTGGAAAACCAGGTGGTCCCCGAAGACCCACGTTTTCTCAATGAAAACTCGAGTGCCCCAGTTCCTCATGGGGAAGCTGCTCGCCGAGCTTCTCACAGTGAACTGCCTCACACAGAGCTTTCCAGCCAGACTCCCTACACACTGAACTTCAGCTTTGAAGAACTGAACACACTTGGCCTGGATGAGGGAGCCCCGAGGCACAGTAATCTGAGTTGGCAGGTATTTATTTTGTGTCATTTTTCATGTTTGGAGAATAAATGCAAATATGCTGGTACATTAAAATGCTCATCCAGAGAGTACTGATTGAGAGCCCAGCTCAGCAAGAGGAAGGGACGACCACTCAAGGACTTGGGTAAAGTCCAGGGGAAAGTTAGGTTGTTCAGGAATTGATACAAATGGTGAAAACACAGTCACAGAAGACATCGGCAGGAGAATAAGAACAGGTGGTGCACATCTTTAATCCCAGCACTCGGAGCCAGAGGCAGGAGGATCTCTGTGAGTTCGAGGCCAGCCTGTTCTACACAGGGTGAGAATGGGGCTGTATGAGGGTGATTGTGAATTTGTCTTTCTTTTGGTATTTTCTGTGAGATTCAGTGACCACCAACCAAAGTACATATTTGTGGAAAACTAGCACCCTGCTACCCACTGAAACTTCAGTCTGTTTTTTCTTTGCACACAGGAACACACATTACACATCACACTTGCTATTTCTCTCATGTTGCTCAGGCTGGGTCAGCCAGGGCTCAAATGATTCTCCTGCATCAGCATCTTGAGTGCTGGGACCACCAGCCCGCACCACTGTGTGGGCGACCACACACATGTTCTCTGGACAGGTGTGTGGGTGACCACATACATGTTCTCTGTGGGGATGTCTTAGACAGGTGTGTGGGTGACCACACACATGTTCCCTATGGGGATGTCTTAGATGTGTGGGTGACCACACACATGTTTTCTGTGGGGATGTCTTAGGCAGGTACAAGCATCAGAAGCAGACATGCAGGTGAGTAATATGTGAAGGATAAGGGGGGTTAGAAGGGAAACAGCCAGAGCAGGAAACTGTGTCTGGGCAGTGTGGGCAGAGCAGTGCTGGCAGGTGCTCCTGGGGAGGGCTTTTGTTTGCAGTGACGATATTTTTAATTTCTCTCCATACAGTCTACAGTAAGTGAAGAAGCCATTTTATTATAGAATACTGACTAATACATGAATTACTTTACAAGCTCACACTCAGTCCATTGGTCTCTGTTCCGCCAGAAGCACTTCCTTTCCTCTCCAGCTCTCCTTGACCTGCTGTTCAGACACTTCCGCCTGTCTTCCCATTAACACAGCAGTTCTTAGCCTTTGTTCTCTTAGAAATATCCAGGACCTTGGGCTGGATGGTAAAGATGCTTGCCCCATCCTAACGACCTGAGTTTGACCCCTGAGGCCCACATGGTAGAAGAAGGAATCTCTTCTTCTTGGTAGAAGAAGTTGTTCTCTCACCTCCACACACATCCCTAGACCCATGTATACACACACACACACACACACACACACACAAAGTAATAAACATGATTAGGACCTAGAAAACTTTTGCATATATAAGCTACTAAACATAGTTAAATAGAAACCAAAAATGTTTCTAAATATTTTTAAGTAATTACATAAACAACATTTTTTACAAAAAAATTACTGTCCCCTGCCAACAAAAAAGCCCAGTGAGAGGTAATGTTTTGCACATATCTTAGTGCTGCTGCTTCCCATCTCCAGGAACAGCACACATGTGTAGCTGTGGCACTCCACTGTGTGAATGAAGGAAAAAGACACAGGGCATTATGGTGTCCTGCAGGATGTAGTTCAGGACTTATAGGTCCCCTGCACAGTGGTGCAAGAGTGCAGGCTGCACTTGAGAACAGTTGCACTAGTGGGTGGAGGGTGGTACCGTCCTTTCTGTTGCATGGCATCTTGAGGGACCGCCTCCTTCTAAAGGAAAGATGGTATTATTGCCCCTACGCCTTTGTTCTAGGCTTTCCTGTGATCCGTTCTTAAACTCCCCGGGTGCTGTCTCCTCCATTCCCTGCTTCTTTTCCCTAATCTGTATTTTTAATTGCTCATTTATTAGCTTTCCTTGGATCTAAAGCAGCTGGAACCTTGAAACTCAGTAGTAGAAACTGAACTTAAAATTTGTCTCATTCTGCCTTTCCTGCCCAGCTGACCCACAGTTTCCGCTGCCGCTTACCCGGAACTTTGTTATCACCTTTTCTGTTCCATTTTAAGGACATTTTCTTCCTCTGAATTAGATGTGACAGAAGCTTCCTATCACCTCTCTGAGATGAGTTCTTTTCTCAGACCTTGAAGACCTGAGTGTTGTGTTTTGAGATCTGTTTTTGTTTCATCTTTATCTCTTCTAAGAGGAATTCTTTCTCAATGGAGATATTTTACCTTAAATAAAATAAAAACTTGCAATTACTAAACGCAGTTGCTCAGATGACTTGTACAACCTGAAATTGTTCTTTTGGATATAAACAGTCAATTAATGTTGCTAAAATTTATAAGCTAGTAACAGAATGGTTCATAAACTCACAGCTTTTGTTAAGCTGTTAGGTCAAACCTTTTAAGACCCTGGTATTTTGGTAACTTTTAAATTATTAGTGTACATTTGTATTTCCTAAGCTGATGTTTATTATGTCTTTTCCCCTTCTTATTTGAATTCTTAAATTTTTTTTTCTGTCTTCACAGTCACAAACTCGCAGAACCCCAAGTCTCTCGAGTCTCAATTCCCAGGACTCCAGTATTGAAATCTCAAAGCTTACTGATAAGGTGCAGGCCGAATATAGAGATGCCTATAGAGAATACATCGCTCAGATGTCCCAGTTAGAAGGGGGCACAGGGTCAACAACAATAAGTGGCAGGTCTTCCCCACACAGCACATACTATATAGGTCAGAGTTCTTCAGGGGGCTCCATTCATTCTAATCTAGAACAAGAAAGGGGGAAGGAGAGTGAGCTAAAGCAGGAGGATGGGCGCAAGTCATTCTTAATGAAGAGGGGGGATGTCATAGACTACTCCTCATCAGGGGTGTCCACTAATGATGCCTCACCCCTGGACCCCATTACTGAAGAAGATGAAAAATCTGACCAGTCAGGTAGTAAGCTGCTCCCAGGCAAGAAATCCTCAGAACGGCCCAGTCTCTTCCAGACAGACCTGAAGCTTAAGGGAGGTGGTCTGCGCTACCAGAAGCTGCCCAGTGATGAAGATGAATCTGGTACAGAAGAGTCAGATAATACCCCACTGCTCAAAGATGATAGGGATAAAAAAGCTGAAGGCAAAGCAGAGAGAGCATCCAAGTCCCCAGAGCACAGTGCCGAGCCAATCAGAACATTCATTAAAGCAAAAGAATATTTGTCAGATGCCCTCCTTGACAAAAAAGATTCCTCAGATTCCGGAGTGAGATCCAACGAGAGTTCTCCCAACCACTCTCTTCACAATGAGGCGGCAGACGACTCCCAGCTGGAAAAGGCAAATCTCATAGAGCTTGAAGATGACGGCCACACTGGGAAGCGTGGGATGCCACACAGTCTGAGTGGCCTGCAAGATCCAATTATAGCTCGGATGTCCATTTGCTCGGAAGACAAGAAAAGCCCTTCTGAGTGTAGCCTGATTGCTAGCAGCCCTGAAGAAAGCTGGCCTGCGTGCCAGAAGGCCTACAATCTGAATCGAACACCCAGTACCGTGACTCTCAACAACAACACCGCGCCAGCTAACAGAGCCAACCAAAACTTTGATGAGATGGAGGGAATCAGGGAAACTTCTCAGGTCATTTTGAGGCCTGGGCCCAGTCCCAACGCTACAGCTATTCAGAATGAAAATCTGAAGGGCGTGGCGCACAAGCGAAGCCAACGGTCCAGTTACACAAGGCTCTCCAAAGATGCGGCCGAGCTGCATGCAGCTTCTGCAGACAGCACGGGCTTTGGAGAAGAGAGAGAGAGCATTCTGTAAGGGAAAGAGTCATGAAGTAGCATTGTCCTGCCCTAGGGATGAGACTGTCTCTAAGCAAAGAGACATGAAGTGGCCTTGTCCTACCTAGGGGTGAGACTGTTTCTAAGGGAAAGAAATGTGAAGTAGCCTTGTCCTACCTAGGGACAGGACTGTCATGAACTCTGAATTGATCCATCACCGATATTCATCATGTTTATGCATCACAGATAACTGATAGGTGGTCAGGCATGTGGTGAAGCATACGTCTTCTGCATAGCAGAGGGAAGTCATCTCCATTGTCTCCTGCATCATGGGCTTTACAGTCTCATCACCATCATTATGCCCTTCCCTGGCACACAGCTGCACTGACTGATGAGAAACAGGCTGAATATAAAATAGGTCAGAAGTGTATCTAAAGCCAAAAGGAAGCAAACCTAGAGACCTCCTTTATATAATATTCATGAAACATTTGAGGGAAGATGTAACGTTAGATGAAGCAGAAACCAATTTTGCTGTTAGAGTTTAATCTTGGTACAGATTTATAGGTTTTAGAGTAGAGGCCAGAGACTAAAAGTGAATGCCTAGCAAATGGATAGCCAATGTTCTGTACAAGACCTATTGCTTTTTAAAGAGGTCTTAGAATTTCAGGAGAAAATATATACTGAAGAGGGTAATAAAAAATCAAGAAAGTGAGTCAGCAGAACCCTGAGCATGTGCCCGGGCCATGGTGAGTTGTTAGCAGAGGAGGTGGGGAGAGCAGTATATTCCTGGGATGCTCTCTCCAGACCCAGCCCAGGCTTCCCACACCTGTGCCCTCAAAACCATCTTGGGCTGTTCTGCAACTCCTAAATTATGCATCTAATCTATCTTAGCTTGTAGTGATTAAACCCAGGATCTCACAAATGCTAGGTAAAGATTCGCTGAGCTACATCCCCAGCCCTAAACACAAGTCCTTTCCCTGGAGATTCAGGAAGACATGGCTGTAAGAGGCACCAATAAATTCTTACTGAATGAATGTATCAGGAAATTGTTACATTTAAAGAGTTAGTGACAATGACACTAGACAAGTGACAAGCAAATATTTAATTTGGTAAAATTGAGTCTGTACTGCAACAGTTTGTTTCATGTGTATTCCTAAATCAGCATTTTAATTCCAGGAGAAATTATATAAAACGCTGTGTGGCTTTTAACAAGAGCTTAGAAGTGTACAACAAAGCAAGAAGAAAAAGATAGAGCCAGTGTGAACAGGATGCCACACTTCCCATTATTCTTAGCAAAGCTAGAGTGAGCACAGACATTTAAGTATCATGTAGGCTAGAAGTGTGCCTGTCATCATCACGCATCAAAACTGTGTGTCATTGATCAGAGCTTGTTCATGTAGTCAGTTCTAGCAGTATGTCCTGAGCCACGGTAGGCTTGTAGATGTGAGGTGACAGGCTTCGTGTTTGTGGAGGTGTCCATCACTGACTGGACCTGTGTTGTTACTGTGTTGGAAACTGCCCTATGTTTCAGTGCCCGACTGTTTGAGTGTAATTGAGCATTTTCATGAAGTGCATATGTTGCATGATCTTTAACAGGTATTTTAAACATTAAAAACAGCATGATGTTACTGACATGATGCATTTTACTACTTGTAGTGTTTATTAGTTTGCAATATCATGTAATTGGTACTTGAGAAGCCGTTTGGCTTCTTTCCAGGTGAGTGGCTAAGCTCCCCGTCTCAGGAGCCCTTTATTCACACTGTCTGTGAAGTCATTACTGGAGTGCCACGTGCACACGTAGACAAGGAACAATAAAGAATTGCATGCCATTCTGACTCACTGAGTTTTATTCACTATAGCAATGACAATCACCTTCTGATTAAAAATTAAAACGTGGTCTGTGTGTCTGTTTTGTGCCCATGGCTGGAGTTTATAGACTTACAGGTCATAAAGTTGACAGTGTTCCAGACAGCCCTTATTATTGTCTTTCTAAGAAAGGTTGGCTCTGAAGCCCTGGTGCCTGACTAGTGCTGTCTTGAAGCATGGGCATCCCAAAGCACATGGCACCATAGCACTGGATCTCTGTAGCTAGAGGCAGACGATCCAGATCCCTGTAGAAGAACATTAGTTTATTCCATGGACCATTCTGGACAAACATCCTTTCTCCTACTGGTACAGAAATTGACAGGCCAGATGCGTTCCTGAGTCACCATTATCCCTTGGAGTCTGCATGTCAGTGTGTGTCTGTGTCTATTTATAATGTATAGCTTAATCTGATTCACACACAGGCAAAACTACACTGAGCTGGATGAAATACTAGAAAAAGGAGCCTATTTTATACCCTGCTCATCTCCTAGATTCTCTCACTCCATCTTACTTAGCCCCATCTTCAGCCATGTGTGTGTGCTGATGTAGCATCCTAATGCTCAACTGTAGCCTTCTGTAGGGTTACTTCTGAGAATATCTGTAGCTCTGGCTGTCTTGGAACCTGCTCTATAGACCAGGCTGGACTCGAACTCAGAGATGCGCTTGCCTCTGCCTCTCGAGTGCTGGGATTAAAGGTGTGCACCACCTTTGCCTGGCACCATTGGTATTTTTCAGTTAAGTCAGCTTTTCCTAGTGATTAAGGATCAGGAATCCTGTACTATAAGCTTTAAGCTTTGCTGAGTGTGGTGACTCATGCCTGTAATCTCACTGCTTGGGAGACAGAAGCAAGAGAGTCAGGGGTTCAAGGCCAGCCTCAACTACGTAGAGATTTCTGAGACCAGATTGGGCTATGTGAGACCCTATCTCAAAAGACTTAACAATGCAACTGGAAGCAGAATTTTCAGTAATAAGAGAATTGGTTTTCATGTGTTATTTTATATGGTTTTAAATATAGTCAGAATAATCTTAGTTGCCTAACAAAAGTAATTTTACAGTTGTATTTGCTTAATTCTTCATCCAGAGAAGTCAAGCTCATTTGCATGCTCTAGTGCTACAATAAAATAATTTATGATTAATCTTTTTCTTACTAATAATTAGAAACTTTTGAATGAAATTACATATTTTTTCTCTTGGTTTGGCTAAAGTACTAAATTTAAAAGTTTTTAAGACAGAATAATTTTTGGTTACACCAGGAATTCTCAGCCTCTTTAGAAATAGCCCTGAATTTAAAAAAAAAAAAAAAAAAAGAATCCACGAATTCCTGGCTTACTCCCCGAATAGATTGCCGTACTTACCAGGAAAAGAGACCAAAGGGCCCTCTTTATTTAATGGGTGAGTGACCTTGAAGGATTAGGTAGAAAGGAGGGTGCAATAAAATTAACATTTTTGGCAAATACTTGGCTACCGGCCCCAGTCTGCTTTATCCCCCACCTTCTTTCCTGGGCTCAGCAGACAGGACCGAAGAGAAAAGCAAATGGGGATACCCTCCTGCCTGGGGCAGGTGAGCCACCCAAAGTGAGTGTCCTTCCCCACTTAAGCTGAAGCATAGGCTAGAGTTACACAAGTGAATTCAAAACTAGAAGCTTATGGGTAGCAGTGAGCCAGCTGTGGACAGTGTTTATTTGGCTCATCATTTGGCAAAGGTTGAGAATCCCTGGTTGAGACTAATTAAGTAGAAAGAGGCTTAAAAAGTCTTACATAATATTAAACCCTTTCCTGCCTAGGAAGAAAATGCTGCCCCTGTGCTAGATAGACAGCGGTTCAGAAGATCCAGTGTAAACTGAGGTATGTAACAAACTAGTTTTCAAAGTAAGACACATTGGGAACAGTTGCCAGGAGTTAGCCACCATCACTGGCACAGTTGAAGATTTTCCAAATGATTAGCAAACCTTGCTTGCTGGGAGACCATGTCTCCTAAGACTGTCAAGCTACACTCATGAAGTCTCACTAACATGACTGCCTCAACAAGAGATGAACAAGGGCAGTAGACATGTCAAAGTGGATTTGGGGGGTGGGAGAGACCATGGGGCCCCAGTCCTACACAAAGAACCACAGGCAACTAAGGAGTGCTGACAGTGGGAGAAACAGTCTTAACCAGGGAAGAGCACTCCAATTATCCATCCAGTACCAAATGGTCAGCCCTGGAAACATCCATTCAGTAACATACAGACTCAGCAGGTTATGTTTGTGTGTTAGGAATATATATGTAACAATAATTAATGAAAAGTAGAGACCATGAATTTGAAAGAGAGCAAGAGGGGGGTATATGGGAGGTTTTGGAGGGAGGAAAGGGAAGGAGGAAATGATATAATTGTGATTGCAATAAGTTTTTTAAAAAGTAGCAAACCGTAGCCCTGGCCTGAAGGTCCTCTGGCTGTTGGCCCAGGCAGGTGAAAGGTTTCCCATGGGGATTTTGGAAATCTTAACTGAAGCCCTTTCTGAGTGGCGCCTCAGTGGCTAGAGGATGGATGAATACTGTTCAGGTGTCCCAGGAGAGTGAAGCATTTTGGAAATTAATGAGTTTATAATACGTTGATCAAGAAGGAAGGGCATCCGTTGATGTTTCTTGACTCTGGATAGGATTCCAGGGGTTCCCCTGCCATGGCAGTGCTGCTTGGGAATACTGTCACCAGCCCCAGCAAGCGCCAACATTTGAAAACTGAAGTAAAGGTCTATTGGTGCATATTGCTTTTGTACCTCCCTAAAACTGAAGCATCACTAACGAAGGGCCATCTGTGTCCCAGAAACACAAGTGGAATGGCTCTCAGAGAGTCTGGAATCTGAACTGAAGTGAAGACCAATATTAATTAATGAAAAACAAAGCATACACACATACACACACAAACACACACACCACAAAACATGAAACGTTTAACATTGACAATGTTACTGTTTCAAAACACAAAATAACCTGAATCTGCTGGTGGGTGTGGCCTGTGGTCATTGACTAACAGAAACCTGGATCCACACTTACTCTGTAGCTAAAGACATACTTTGTAGTGTTATTTATTCTAAGGGTGTATATTAGGAGTTATTTATTGCAGTCTAGCAAAACATGGACTGGCATATCAAAATGAATTAATTACTAGACTATCAAGACACAAATGAGCGAAACTGTCCTCTCGAAACAGAATGCATGTCCTTATTCAAATTAAGAAGTTATCTGAGGTCATTAAGGTCTTAATTATTCATGATCATTTTCTAATTTTACCGTATTTACACATATTTACCTCCTTCTTTTTCAAGGCAACAAGGGCTTAGAACCTTAGTATTCTGCCCATAGACCAAGCAGCGCTTCTTTTTTCATTCTCCTGGCAGCTCGGTTAAATTCCCCAGCTGGCTTCCTCACCACATATAAGGGGGTGAAGAAGACACGGCCACCACTCTAGTCCTGCCATGCAATCAGCCAGAGAAGAAATGTGTCATCCACCTTAACCAGATCTCTCTGTTCTCTGTAACTGTAGGGTTTAAGTTAGTTTTTTTTTTTTAATGAAGTACAACTTTTATGAGATTTTAGGTAAAAGCCCAATGTATAGATAAAAATGTGTAAATAAGCTAGTCTCTCCTCTCATGTCCTGTAGCACGTTCTTGGTCAGGTAACTAATAAAACATTAAGATATTTTCAAAATTGTCACAGTTCTGACACTTGCAAGTTGTGTTTCTTAGAACTTTTAGAAGGCATGCTGTTTTTACTTAATGTGAATTAAACTATTTTGAAAGAGATTTTCTTTTCAGTTTCTGTGTTTTCTCCATGTTCTTCTCTCTCTCTCTCTCTCTCTCTCTCTCTCTCCCTCTCTCTCTCTCTCTCGGTCTATGTTTCCTTGGATGTTGCATTATATGCATCCTATTTTACCACAAGACATTATTAGCACAGTAGCAGGAGGGGAAACTTCAGCACAGTGTTTTAACAGTCTTTTAGATGGACCTGATGTTGGATAACCCAGGGCAGTGGACAGGAATTTCTGTAAGTGAATAAGGCAGATCTAAATTGGGTTAGTACAACCGCCGAGTCTGCACAAGTCCTACAGCATGTGTTAAGAATGCCCTGCACCCTCACCCCAGTTTCTCGTGGTTGGCCCTCCCACTTTTACACCTGCCCTGTCACCTGTTGGCCTTGGTAAGTTTCTCTGTCTGTGATTCCAGCTTTCTGTCAAGATGTAATACCATTCTTGGTTAAAAATTGCCGACATGGATACCCACAGCCTACTGTGGCAAACCACATCCTTTGAAAGTTCTTGGTGTAGTAGAGATGCTCATCTCACTATGCTTCTGGAGTCATAAGGAACTGGTAATTCTGTACTTCACATCAGAACCTTGAAAACTATATTCAAGTGTAACTTAGCTGCGGTGAACCCCCAATTCAGGCTTATAACTACGGTGGTACTGTTTAACATCAAGACCAGCACAGTGCCTAGCCTACCTTAGCCAAGTCAGAACTTCAACCTTCCTTTCACTGGGCTTTTTTCAGTGCCCATCCCTCATCCATCTGTCAGTCCCTCTCCCAGACTGTTCTGATTGCTTGGCCTATAAGGAGCATGCTGTATTAGGATCCCATATTGAATATTTTTTATATGAATGGGCAATTATGCATTGTTGATGCAGGCAAATAATTTTTCCCCTTTTCAAGACAGGGTTTCTCTATAGCTTTGGAGTCTGTCCTGGAACTTGCTCTGCAGACCAGGCTGGCCTTGAACTCACAGAGATCTGCCTGCCTCTGCCTCCCAAGTGCTGGGATTAAAGGTGTGCGCCACCACCGTCCAGTCCCAGTTCACTAACTGGATGCATTTACGCTCAATTTTTTTTTTTTAGCTCTTTCAGAGTTTTGTTTTGATCATATCGACACCCCCATTCTTCTCATATCTACTCCCCCCTTCCCTACCAACTCTGTATTTTGTCTTTTTCT